TGAATATATTTATCATGAGGTGTGAGTACATACATATCTTGGGTATTACTCCTTTTCCCCTCCTTTCTCTATTCTTCCTCCCATTTGCCCCATTTCCAAATCCCCTTTCCATCTGCACAAAGTCTATCCCCCATTTCCTATCATCTTTCTTTTTTTTTTTTTTTTTTGCTCTTAAAACTATATTTTAAGTTTTTCATGTAAGGAAAACCATGCAATATTTATTTCTGTCAGCATTATTACTGAATGTCATTAAAATATCAGAGAATTCAAGGACTCTATGTATTTTTAAAAATTATTTATGTATGTATTTATTTGGTACAGGGTCTTGCTACATAGCTCAGATTCGTAGTAATCCTTCTGTCTCAACCTCGCCAACACTGGGATTATATGTGTGTGCTACCCACCCAGTTTTGGTGACGGGCTCGGTGAGGGGCCTGCACAGCCTGGGATACCAGGGATCAAACCCGGGTCCTTGTACTTGCCAGTCAGGCGCTTAGACCACAAAGCTGTCTTCTATGCCTAACTCCATGTAATAATGGAAAAAATATTTCACTTGCTAAGTTAAACAACAGCTTTGTGTTTGTCATTAGCTTAATCAACATCATCCTTTAGCTGATTAGAACTTACCACTATGTATGTACTAACTCTCCTTCGAGAAGAAATACAAAATTTTGAGTATTTCACAGCATTGTGATTAATGAACTTATTTGAGTATTTTTCAAAGTCTGGGTATTGTCTGAATGTTTTTGTACCCTAAATTCACATTTTGGATTAAAGCGCCTGCAAGCAAGTGTAGGGGTCAGGGGTTTGATGCCCAGCCAGCTGTGCTGGCCCCGGCAATTGAGACTGAGCATGGTGGCATGCACCTGTAATCCAAGTTCTTGGGAGGCTGTAAACAGGCAGATCACTATAAGTCTGATCTTGTAGGGAGACCCTGAACGCCCTGTAGACCCCTGCCTAAAATACAAAATAAATAAATAAATTCACATGTTTTAACTCCTAATCCTTGAAGTCATGGTATTTGGAGATGAAGCCTTTGAGATGTAATTAAGTCATCAGAGTAAAGCCCAAAGAATAGGATCTGTCCTGGCACAAGATGGTCCTTCTCCATCACGCAGGCTTTCAGCAAGAAGGAGACTGTCTATTTCCTCAGAGAGGAACCGCCTCATGAACACTCAACAACTTGATGTTGAATTTGCCTGTTTCCAGAACTGTAAAAAATAACTATTGCTTAAATCATGTGGTTCATGCTACTCGTCTGAACAGTCCAAGATTTGGGGTAGCGTAGGTAAGCACTGGTAGGCCAGATGAAGGGGCCTGTGGATAAGTGGGGGACTGCAGAAGAAATATTATGAATTTGAGTTTGTGGATGTTGTAACTTGGTCTTAGTGGGTGAATGGTAAATCACAGATACATAAAATCTTAGAAGTTCAGTTATGATAGTTTTATTCCTTTTCTTATTTTATATTTAACTAAAATTTATATTTATAGCCAATGCCAAGATATCTAAAGCAGGATGGACTAATCTGACCTGTAGTAAGGTCAGAAATCAGCTAAATATTGGAGAGAATAATGAAACTCTGGGACACAGGTAAATGTTATTAAAGGTTGAACTCCATGTTCAATGTGTTCTTTTGCCCCACCAGCAGCATTCTGTCACTGATTGCTTCATGTCCTTCCATGACTTCTGTTATTAATGGCATAAATGAAATGGGGACAGGGAGGCAGGAAAGCAGCACAGTACAATGACATCTCTATTGGGTTCTCTTCAATCAAGGGAAATCAAGGACAACTGAGGAAAATGGCCCATGTTACAATATCTTCCTCAAGAGGCATGATGGTCTGTATGATCCTACTCAAGTTGGAAAGTTCTTCTACCTTGTCAGAATGTCTGGTTACAGGTGATATATATATATATATATATATATATATATAGAGAGAGAGAGAGAGAGAGAGAGAGAGAGAGTTGAACTAGCTGAAGAAAAGAAGGATGTTGAGAATGAAGTCACAGGCAGAGCTGAATGCTCATGAGAACTATCTGGGTTTTTGCTCCTTGAGAATGAAAGCCAGCTGCATTTTTTGTCACACAAAACAGGAGGAACCATAAACAGGCCAGTTCTGAAAATTTAGATCAGTGGAGGACTTAATATGAACCTTTCCTTTCTCAGGGGAAAAAGTCCCAATGATAGGACCTGGTGGGTGTGACAATCTCTCACACAATCAGTGGAGATGGAGGCATTTTGTCTAAGTTGGTGTTTTGAGTGGTCCAATTTAGAAACAAAGAATGAAAGTTGTAACCTGTAGTTCTGTCTGAATTACAAACATAGAACTCAGGAAAGGTCAGTTTCTAGCAGAAGGTACTCAGATATAATTTCAGGGGTTCATCTGTGGTTTGTTCAGTAATATGCTGAGTTACTCAGACTTTGTGGAGGATGTATACAAGTAATAGTAATACATTTCAATTAACTCAACTGGTGAGGATTTATTATGAAAATATGTGAGAAAGTGAGAAAATGGAGAGATCCCTATTGGCATCTGCCATCCAGTTAAGATTCCTTCCCACATCAGATTGCACTATTCCTTTCTTATGACTACTCAGTTGAATGTGGAAGCTAATGAATATAGACACGGTAAGAACTAGTCTTTGACTCTAGTTGTGACTTATAGTTTCCCATCCTTTTGACTTGGCAGGAATACATTGGCAGGCTACCATCTTCCTGTCTACAGGTCTAGGTCTCATTATTTGAGCTAGAATCTGACTCAGTAGACTATCCTCCACTGAGCATAGAATGTTTTTGTTGGAGTTTGGATGTAAAAATCCTCTCTACTGATCAGATTCTCTTCTTTGGCCAGAAACTAATCATTGTTTCATTCAGTTAGAGCCAGGAGAATGGGGGATCAAGGCAGAATGAATTCTCTGTGTTGGGTAATTTAACTGGGAAAAAACAATTAAATTTATGGGCTTTCTAGTGTCTACAAAAGTATAGACTATGTGGTTTCCTTAAACCAATACATTTTAATTGAAAATCCTTTGATAAGGACTATTCTACAAACTATGGGTGAAACTAGAGTATATAGAGAGAGTTCCTCCCTGAAAGAGGTTGCTAAACTGATGTAAACACAGGAATAGTCATAGTGGGCACAACTAGAAAATAATCTAGAATGTTCTGGTGTTTAATCATTTCCTCAAAATGGAGGTGAAAAACTGCTCATTTCTTCATTTTGCGTAAAGGAACTGGCACAAGAAACTAAACTTTTATAAAACAAACCCTTCCATAAAGAAAGGTTGCTACTGATGTCATCATTGTAGCATCAGAACCTACATTGCAAAATGAAGTTTCTGTGGAAGAGATGTGCCTGAGAGTCATCCTAAGAATGTAAAGCAAATGAGAAAACAGGTGAGTGACAGAGGGGGAGAGTGATAAAGACAGAGACAGATAATCTCCAAGAGCCGTGTGGACGGTTCTGCAGGGATCAGGGCCAGCTTGCTCAGGTCTCCATCGTGGGCTCTGGGCTTAGTTTCTCGCTGCCTTGGGCTGCTTCTGGCAAAACAGCAGCTAACATAGCCTCTTCACTGGGACTGTGACTGAGCCCACCAAAAGCCTAAGCAAAGAAGGCTTTGGGCCCAAGGCTTTGCTGTTTGTATGGTTCACAGCTCCATGGAAGTTCTGATTGGACTGGACCATAAGGGAAGGAGGTGAGAGATAAAGGAAGGAAGAAGTCTCAAATGATGATTGAGGGAGCAGGATGGTTTGATTTTTATGTTCCCCCGATACTTTTTATTTATATATTTGCTGCTTCCTGAGAAGCCAGATGTAAGAATTCATACAGCAAATGCCTGTGTAAATAGCAAAACAATAACCTGCAACCCTCAGAAGAGTCAGGCCCGAGTACAATTTCATTTTTTAAAAATTTTATTTTATTGAGAAACAAATATCAATGGGACAGTTTCAAAACCGATTAATAGGACAGTTTCAATAATTAATACATTGTACATTGTTATCTTCTTAGCGGTTATCCATAGTACAAGATGCAGACAGAATATCCTGCCCATTTCAGACCTCTAAAAGGGATCTTTAGCCTGCCTGAGATGACTGGCTCTGAAGGGCGTCTTTGATTTAGAACGGTGTCTCCATGGCGAACAACGAACTAGACCATGAGAAGTTTAAGCCTGCAGAATAAGAACAAGGAATGAGGCGTTCAGTTGGTTCCACTATAAAATAAGCCTAATGTTTGAGGTTGCTTATGTTCTGACCGGGACTCCTTAAATTCTTTCACATTCAACAGTTCCAGCTTGAGACAATATCCATACAATCTGAAAATCAAAGGTCATGGCTCTACAAGCATGGGTTCTCAAGTTGAGCCTGCGTCTGTCCCTTTGGAGAAGGTGGGAACGGTGGCAGAAAAGGGAAGGCTGTAAAGGGGAATGCTCACACTCTCAGGACTCTACCACCTTCAAAAAGTACTTGGCCAGTGTGGACCATGGAGGATAAGATCGGGACATTCTGCCTGAAGCTATATTGGCTTTTGTGTTTCTAGGGCAAGACCTGTCTGCGGACAAGCACTGTGCTACAGCAGAGAAAAATGGTGCGCACGCATGTACGTGTGTGTGCGCGTGTCAGAAAAAATAATTGTTCGCCGAGCATCTCTCCGGTGGTGGGTTGTCCAGGGCCAGGTGTCCGGAGCCTCTCTCCCTGCCTGGGCGGAAAGGGAATTTCATTCCCTGGTCTCCCGTGAGCCCTTTAAATCAGTTCCCCCGCCCCTACCACCCACTCCTTCTCGCTGACAGGTGTTTTCCCAACTCCGGAGGCCGTGGATTTTGGGGAGTGGCTGAGCCAATGAGAGTTCTCCGTCGGGCGGAGGGCGTGGCTATTGGGTCAGCAGGGGCGGGGCCTGCCGGCGGAGGCGAGCCTGCCAGGTTGCGCGGAGCGCTGTGCTATTCCCACCCCCGCCGCCCCCCTTTTCCCGGAGTCTTATTAATTTCTCTGTGGGGCTGCAGCTGGAGACCGCGGAGCGTTGGAAATGACGCTCGGAGCTTTAATTACCGCAGCCGCTGGACAAGTGTGAGGAAAGCTGACAGGAAAAAGGGCAGGCGCGGGGTGGGGAGAAGCCAGCCGCGCTCCCTCTGCTCCCCGCTTCGCTCTGCTTTGGACTGGAGGTGCAACGCAACTGAAGAGGGAGCCCAACGCACCCGGCGGGGGGAGAGGCCGGAAACCGACCGCCTCTTTGCAGTCAACTTTTTTGGGAAGCCTTTCCCCCTTTTTTTTATTGTTGACCAACCAGTGAAAGGGAGAGAGAAAGTGAGGAGGGAGCGAGGACGCGAAGCTCACCCGGGAAATAGCTGCACAGTCCGGCGCGGCGCTGGGGCGCAGACACCCGCGCCCTCCTCTCGCGCGCACCTCGCGCCGCCCGCCGCCTCCCCGGGACCCCGGGACCCCGCCCCGCACCCGCCCCGGGAGCCGGTGCCCCGCGCTCTCCCCCGCGCCCGCACGGGGCTATGCCTCTTGGACATGTAACTGTCAGCACGGGATCCGAGCCTTGCCCACAATGAAGCTGGCGACGGGACTGTGGGGCTGGCTGAGCCTGCTCGCGGCGGCGGGGACCGTCCGGCCCGGCGCTTCTCAGGCAGGTGGGTCCCGCGGCCGAAGCCGTGCGGCGCGTGGCGGCCTCGCGTGGCTCCCGCGCCCTCTCTGCGGCCGAGAACCCGCTCGCTCCTCCCGCCCGGGCGCCGCGTCGCCCGTCTGTCCAACCCAAACTTGCCGCGGAGGTGTTATTTGTCGTGAACGACTCCTGCGCGCCCCGTCCCGGATTTTTTGCCTTGTCTCTGTTTAGACCCCTTCTTTCTTTCTCGCGCGTTTTCTGGGAGCCTGAGCCGCATCCCCTTTGGTCGCGCCTGTTGTTCGGGGCCAGGGAACCCCAAAGCTCAAGCAGGGGAGACGCGGCCCCTCATCGGGTCCCTCCAGGGAGGAAGCCCCCAGAGGCGCAAACCCCTGGGCTTTGGAAAAACTGGGGTCTCAGGGCCGCTGTGCGCCCGGCCTCTGGAGCCCGCGCAGTGGGGAGCGGAGCCTAGAGCGCGGCTCTGCACCTGCGGGTGCGGCGGGCGGACGCTGCGCCTGGAGCAGGGTCGGAGCTGCGCTGTCCCTGCTGGGCAGTGCAAGGCGGGCGCGCCGCGGCCTGGGTCCCGGGGCGCTGGGCCTCCTGGGCCGGCGTCCCGGAGCTCTAACCCGCTGCGCCCGAGGGGGCTCTTCGGTAGCTGTCTGACCTCTTAGGGAAGAAAAAGACTTGGCACACTAGAATCAGGCGCCCGGCCTTCCCGTCGGTTGCTGTGTTTGGCTCGGGGAAGAGTTATTCCTGTAGTTCAACTCGCTGTTGGCCGGAGTCCCTCCAACTTCTGTTTACTGCCCGGTCCGGTCGCGCGAATTGATTGAACCCGAGGCTGGAGCGCTGCAGCTGCGCTCGGTGCGCGGCCTCGGGGTGTTGCGGAGCTTGAGTCCCAGCCCAGGTATTCGGACAGGCACTGGGCTGATTAACCCCAAGAGATCGCGCAAGGGGCCTGGGGGACGCACCCGCGGGCGGGCTAAGGACAGCACCTGCAGGGCGAGGGAGCTTGAAGTTTCTGACACTTTGTGAGTTTCCCCGGGATAAAAGTGGGACGGGAAAGGGCAGACAAGAACCGCGGTCTGACGCTGCCAAGGGGAGCCCCTTGGAGAGCCGGGGAGATTTCCGGCCTCGTCCAGGGGTGGTAGGAGGCAGAGTGTGGGGATACAGTTCCCGGGAGTGCAGCAAGAGAACGCTTCAGGCCCCCGAAGGGTGTCCTTCTGACCTCACCAAGAAAACAGCGCGCTGTGGTTTTCCTGCTCCGCCCCCGCCGCCTCCCCCTCCCTGCCTGGTAAATAACAAGTTACGACCAACGAGCCTTTCCGAATGACCTTCCAGTGGCACATGTGCGCCATTTGTGCTGGCCGTTTGCACCCTCCCAATTACTCCGAAATTCTTCATGCATACCAGGTCCCGCGCCCCAGCCGCCCTTAGGAATCACACCCGCACCGACTGGAGATTCCAAGCGGCCTCTTAGATACATCCTTTTTATCTGCCTCTCCACTCCGAGTTCCTTCCTATTTTCCCTCAATGGGTTGATTGTACACATTGACCCACTCAAAAGCAGTCGCGACTGACATACAGGCTTAGCCGCTAGGAATTTCTACGAGGTGACCTACTGGGGGTGTCTGGTTCAGTCCCTGCCGCTGGGGGACCCCGCTTAGAGTCCGCAGCAATTCGGTATTAACTGTGAGGCTCCCGCTTGAGCTATGCCAAAGAGTCCTTTTCAGAATTTCTGCGAGGAATGTAATCCAAATTAGTTCTGCAGCTGTCCTCTTCCTAGTCTCTGGCGACACCAACTCGCGCCCTCGCTTGTCTCTTTTCGTTTCCCTGGGCGAATCGTCAGACCCACAAGCGAGCCCATTTAGAGCGCAAGGATTAGCGTGCCATTGTTGTTCCGAGTGTGACTCTGTACTTGAAATTCTGGGGGCACAAAAGCGAGCCTCACTTGTTCAGAACACAAAGTGATCTAGATAAAAGGGCCGCACAAAGGGAAGCTCTCGGGTGCATCCCTGGTATAATCGCAACACGCATTCTAAGGTGATCCTTTGGAAACTATAAATGCCCCGGGGACTTCTTTTTTCATCCACTTCGACCGCACCTGGCAGGGAAAGTTCAGCTGGTTTTGAATGTAAACCAGTGAAAACAAGTTACTGTCTGGGGTGTGAGTGAGGCTCAGTGTGTTTGTGAATGGTTGTATGTTCCCAAGTAAATACATATTGCGCGTCTCCCCTCTCGCAGTTAGCAGTCAGTAGCAGTTTGGAGGAGTTTGTTTTGGTCCAAATGAGAAATTAAGTGCGGATAAGTAAACTAAGCTGCCAGAGGGCGACAAGATGTTGAGTGAATTGCTTTTAGATGAAACAAATTAAGGAAACGAGGGAAGACAATCTGCTTCTCGCATTATTAGACACGCTTGGAGTTCAGGGGGAAGTGGCATATTTTTGAAATGCTAATTTCTTAAGCAGAAGGAAGGTATCTTATTTACTGCTTTATGTAAACAGAATAAAAATATAGGGTTAGGGATTCTTTTGTATAGGTCTTTAAGATATTTATTAAAAAATGAACGGAAGAAAGGTTTTTTTTTTTTTTTTGGCTTGGGAAAAATCAGCCATGGAGAGAGTTATTCAATAATTCTAAAGGACTTTCTCTTATTTCCATTAATTGTTTTATATAGACATAATTGAAGACCTTTTAAGTGGCAGTGATACAACCTTTGCCACTCGGAGCAATAATTCTAAAGTCTATCTCCCTCATATGATAGAGAATTATCAATAAAACCTTTGCATTGAAATAACATGTAGTACTACCGGAGCGGCACTCTTACAGATCTTGATATAGGATCTGTGAACACGATTATTTGCAGCTTCTCTGAAAGCCATTAATTCCTTTTCATTTTAGAAAAATACAGTCCCTCTTTCCTCTATATTTATGATATATCATTTTACCTGTATACTGAAAAAAATGTTACTAACACTTAAAGTTGCAGAAATATATTAAATATATTTTTCAAAAAAGCACCTATTCTCTCTTTACATGTTTACTGTAAGCACGCCCATGGGTACAGTTCCTTCTTTGTTCTTTAAAATTTGAAATTCTTATAGATGAAATTCTTATGTATAGTGTTATAGATATGTTAAGAGCGCTTTTTAGAAGGTATTTTTCTCTTCAGCACTACCTTTAAGTAAATTAAGTGCTACTGTTATAACTGCAGGTTACTGAAATACTATACTTTTGCACTATTTTGATGAGAAGGAATAATTTTGGTTTGTTGAGAGTCCTTGTTTTTTTTTTTTCCCTCAAACTGAACAACCTTTATTTTAATCATGCATGCATAGAAAGTCAAATATTTTTGAAAAATCAAAGCACTTACCACTTTACCTATATTTCCCTGGAAAATGTGTCTTAATTAGGAAATTACATTAGAATATTTACTAGGGCATGCGCTTCATGGAAGATTTATGTATTTTTATTCTAACCTGAACACAGTAAGTTTACTTTGACTGATCTTTAGAGTTTGCATTCATCTGATAGAAAATCATGTTTTCCCCTCACAGTGGATTAAATATTTAGTATTCATGAGCTTTCATTCCTTTGGTTTTTAAATAGAAGTGCTCTTTATCGTCTGTCTTATGCACCACCTTTTCCATTGCTTTAGATTCTTTACATCCTCTTACTTACTGAGTTTACACATGTGAATACATATTTTCCTTCTACCACTCAGGGTACCACTGTTTTGTGTCTTTCCAGCAACCTGCCACTCAGCCACTACAGAGGTCCTCGGAGCCAGTTCCTATTCCTCCTTTCTGATAAATCTGATATGGCTGGTTGGCTGAACAATCACAAGCCTTTCCATTGCTCAGATTTATTCCTGAAAGAAAATATAACAGCATTGATCCAAGATCACCAGCACATCTCAAAAACCTTGACTCCAAGGCCAGATCTTTCCTCAGAAAAGTCCCTCTTTACCTTTCTGTCTCTTTTTCCCCTTTTCACTAAGGAAAAAGGGTGGGCTATTGCCATTTAAAAACACCAGGGATGCAAGCAGTTGTGCCCTAAGTATTGTCTGAAGCTGATGATGAAAGCCATCTTGGGATAAATGGAGATGGCAAGTAACATTTTACACACTATAAATTGAGTTAGGACATCTTAGGTATGGTAGCGCTTTAAAGCAAAATCATCTTTATATTCTGCCAAATAAGTTACTAGGAAAAGTTAGTGTGTATTTTAAAAATAGCAGTGAGCTTTGGCTTTATAGTATTCTCCTACTGTGTTTGTTCATATGTGTGTTCATATGACCTGTGCATGCCTGAACACAAATGAAGCCAATGATCAAAAAGGACCTTCTGCTACCTGCAAACTTGTTTGCATTTACTGTGTTTAGTTGCACTGTTTTGAGAGATACTGCTTTATAAATGTAATATTTCTGTTGTGATGACCTTATACATTTTGCAAGGCTACAGCTGTTTTGCAAACAATGTCAAGCATATTATACTGTTATCTTTTACAAGGATCTGAATATGCTGTGTAGGGTAGAGGTTAATTGTAGTATTACCTTTTTCAAGGCTATAGTAGTTTAGATTTAATGTTTCACCATATGGAACTGAATTGCATCTTTAGTCTAACACTCTTTCTTAAATAGTATAAATATTAGGCAGTTGGAGTAAAACCATACTTTGCATGATTTCCAGTATAGTGACTGAAGTTTATGATGTATAATGGAAAACTTTTTGATTTTCCATTTATTTGTTAATTTATAACAAGGAGCTCCTAGGCCAAAGTTTCTTACGGTTTTAGCTCTTCTAGTGTGAAGATCTTTCCTTCCTAGTTTGCGCATAAGTGCAACACAAGTCATAGCCATGTGGCTTACATAAAGATTTATACTCCCATGCACAGTTCTTCCAGTCCTTTTTTAATGCCATGAGCAACTCATTCCTTCTTTTTGTGACTTCACTTGTCTACCTTGGAGTAAAATACAGATAGTATACTATCTCTCCAGTGTATAACTGTTTTCTGAAAAAGGGCCTTTAAAGC